CTGGCAGCAATAGGGACTATCGAGGAATGTCTTGGCCCTACCTTGTCCCATTCTTGTCCCTATCTGATATTCATTGCTAGATCTAACCTTGTTTGGGTGTGGGTGTGACTTATTTGCACTTAATTTTTCTTTCTTTTTCCGAAATGATATATTTGATGTTACTTATAATGGTTTTGTGTACAATCGGGGTATGGGAGGGGGGCTCACGACGAGAAGTTTGTCAAACGGGATTGTCAATTCTGATTGTACAACTAGCAAAATTCTACTCCTAATAAAGTTATTATACAATATTTACAAATTGAAAGTATGAAAAGCAAGTATAGGCAGTTTAAATACAATAATAGTAGTCAAAAAAATACCTTATTTTGATTCTAACATTTTCTTCGATGTTAAGAGAAGTTCAAATAATTTTAGCCAAAAAATAAATAAATAATTCTTTAGTAGAAATAAGCGAAGTCAAACTTCCTCAAAAAAAATTGTAACATATTTATGGCATGTTTAACAGGTCTTCAACTTCAACTTTTTATAAAAGAGTTTCCTAAAAATCATCCAAATGGATCCATTAGCGATTTTTTAGTCTCAGAAATAAGTTTTAATTTTTTAAAAGCCTTGTCAAAGAGGCACATAACCTTCTTTTTGTCATGTTCCAAAAATTTACTGAAGTACATTTTTAACTGCATTTCAGCATTTCTAACTAAAAATAAAAAATAAAAAAATTAGAGAGGATGATTTGTAAACCACATGATACATGACATGGACGAAAGAAATAACAGGGTACTAAACGGAGGCTTGCTATGCACTTATTTGGAAATTAAGGACTGTTATTGGGAAGATGAAGGGCTGCAAGGGTAAAGTGGGAAAGAAAAAAAAATACAGGAGGATTTAAGGAATAAAAATAATGGTGGTGGCCCATGCAGGTCTCGAACCTGCGACCTTCGCGTTATTAGCACGACGCTCTAACCAACTGAGCTAATAGGCCTTTGTCTGCAGTTAGCAATATATTTATTTTGTTGTCTTTAGCTAACCATAATTTCCATATTTATTAGTGCAAAAATTTTCTCCAATGATGTTAAAATATCATATCAATTTGGTGTAATAAATTGTGTTACACCAAATTCATTAAATATAATTACTCAGTCATAATATAATTAATGATTTTAATTGTTGAGAAATAAAAAAAAATAAAGAAAATAATATTCATTCAGTGTAACTACTGAAAATGACTTAGAAAAATCGTGTGAAAGATACTCTGGATTTATTAGTACGACTTTATTAATGAAATTTATGTTGGAAGAATTTTGTGAATAGTGACGCCGAAATAAGTATAATGATGGTGACAAAGTCGAGGCAAGAGTTGGACTCTTTGTCCTTAAGTCGAATTTGCCCCGCAACGGTGCCTACGGATTTCGACAATCGACTCCCAAGATACAACGGCTACACTTGTGTTTGTAGCACTCCAAAACACAAGTACAACGAACCAAATGTAGGCTTATGTACTCCAAGGATGAAATGAAAGAAAATCAAAATAAATGAAATGATTTTGATTTTGGATAGAAGAGAGGATGAGAGAAGTTTTTGCATATCAAACTGTGTGGAATAGGACACCTAAAGGGTCCTATTTATAGACCATGAAAGGGTGTGGACGAAATGGTTGAGGCCAAACCATGCACCCTTTCCAAACAATGCACCTTTATGAAAAGGTGTCTATTCACTAATGGTTGAGGCCTTTTTCGTAATTTCTCATTCATCCGATATTGGTTTTCGAAATGCGTCCCGAAGCGGCGAAGTGACAAACAATTTTGCCTAAACGGATTGAGTCGAGCTTTTGAGTATTTGGCCGAAGTCGATACGAACTTTAATCGATTTTCAATTCTCGATTTATTTAACCAATATCCAACAATTTATCATGACATCCTCGTATTGTCAATCATCTTATGTTCCTTCCATTTTTCTCCACAGTGCATGGCCCATACCATAATAAAAATGTGAAAGAAATCCTTCAATGTCATGAAGGGTTGTTTAGTTCACATTATTGAAAATTCAAAGGCCTCTCTATTCGGTCTTCACTTTAAAACTTAACTGTTTTTCTCCACACGTTTTCCCAACAGTTATTTATAAATTAATTATTTATAATTGAAACTACCAGCCTTGCATAAATCACAACCACCAAATACTAATTTCTTATCACTTTAAACAAATATAAAAAAATGAATAATCCCAGTTGAAGTTCTCACAAAAAATTGTTTTCTTGATTTTTTTGTCGTGTAGTGATTATTAATTGTTAAGCAAGTGGGAGAAAACGAAGTGTGAATGCATTTAATTACTTGTACTAGGGGAGTCGTGTTGGTGTGAACACAAATTTTGTCCATTCATGAGCAACTCAATTTTGACTGTTAGACTTATGTTTAGAATATGTAGTATTAATGCTGATTAGTAATTTATTATCTACATTCAGTCCATTTCAACTTGGCATAAACCTACATTAGCCCTTGTCTGGTATAGTTGAATATTCGATGTTTACTATATTTTGATAAAAATTGATAAAATGTTTGATCCTATAAAATATGTGATTAAAATAAATTATTGATCAACAATAATAAAAATAAATGGAATAAATGATCACCAAGAGGAATTTCATCGATGATTGTTGATAGTTTTATTATAGGTGAATGATCTTTAGTATTATTTATGTGTAATTTCTAGCGAAATTATCGATTATAATATTATTAATTATTGTTGACAATTATCATATAGTTACGGTAGTATATAAGTCCCTGTTTGGCCACCATTGAAATTATAATTCATTTTTTCTCTTTTTATCAATCACATATTTTTCTATAAAATAATATTAAACATAAATCTAAAATCATTTTTTTAACCACACATTCTTAAAAAACGCTATTTCAAAAATTATAATATCAAATAATAAAGGGCCAAACAGAGGTTAAATATAACAAAAATGACTAGCAAACAATAGGTAAATAGATGTTTTAAGATTTTATCTATAAGAACATTTTCAATCGTGGTGTAAAATAAATATAAATTGCAATTGAGATCTCCAAAGTGGTCAAAAATCTCTCTAATAGATAGATACAAAGGAAATATAAATTACATTTTTCGACAAAGATATATATATAGGGAAAGGCCCAGAAATACAGTTCAATGGAGGCGAGACAGAAAATGGGTTAAAATAAATTGTAAAATAAACCCAAAAAAAATCTGAAAATTTAAATTTAAAAAGGTCTGATCAAAAGTTTGTTAAAATTCAGTGGAGGCGGTCGACCCCACTCACTCCTTAGTGGGTCCGCCCCTGTATGTGTGTGTAAAAATATAAATTATCATATTCTTTTACATCCATAAAAGGTCAAAAAATGAATTTAAATATTTTCGTTGAAGCAAAATTTGAATTTAGATCAATTGGAATCTAAATGGAGGATGCAAAAGTAATTTTGGAGATATCAATTTACACTCAATTTTAAAGATTTCATAGCAAGAAAAATGAAATACTAATTAATATTACCTAATTTTTCATAATTCAATAATTAAGGATTTTTTATGGCTATGTTTTATCTTAAACAAGCCTCTTTCATGAGTAAAATTGAATTATAGTTTGATTTTAAATTTGTTAAAAGAAGCTTTATAAAATAAAATAAAATTTAAGATCATCAAAAATCGATCTTGAAGATTGGTGAAATTCCAAGTACATAGTAATGATATGTAAAGACATACAAAGTGAACATAATGGACAAAGTTGTAGAGTTTAGCTACACTACAAGAATAAAACTTTGTGATAGATATAATTTCACTTATTTTTAATGTGACGTGACATTATTTTGGAATAGTTTTGTCGGGTTAGTACAGTTGTTGATGCTTAAAAATGATATTATCAAATTTTATATTTTAGAACTTATAACGATTTTATGTGGTAAGTATTCATCTAGTACGATTTCACGCGTACATGTAAGATGAGTCGAGCTTTGAAACTTTTAAAACAATTGGTGCAATGCAATTATATTAAAGCAACAAAAGAACAAACATAAAGCCATGTTGAGCTCATGAAATGACAAAAGAATGTATCAACAAACAATCCTAGCAAGATTCTCTAATCCTAGTTAAGGTCAAGACCGTCATTCCAACTGCAAGTTTAGGGTAAGCATTGTAATGTAATAGCCGCCAATAAGTTGTAATTTTCTGAAACATATAAAAATATAAATTTTGGAAATTTTATATTACATATGGCATATGGCTTACGTTATTACTATGACGAAGAGGCAGTACGTAATCACGAATGCGCAAGAAACGTTTATCTACGCGCTTGTAATGCTTGTTTTTCGTACTATGCACAACGCAACTTTTAGGTAAATTACACTTCTGGTCATCCAAGTTCTACTAAAATTTCAATTGAGTCATGTAACTTCAGTACGTTATAATCAAACACCTCAACTACAATTTTATTTCAAAATTGCCACTCCAGAAATCTAATCCTTGTAACTAATTCTATACTTGAACATGTTTCAATGTCAATATTAAATCGATGGTTTATGTGTAATAAATTGTTTGCGATTATGTTGTATAAACTATTTGTTAAATGCTAATAAATAGAAACCTATGGTTGATTTTTTTATTTTGTGTCGATGGAAAATGATTATGGAAATTAATTTAAAGGGCCTGATTGAAAGAAATTAAAAGTTAAGTAGTCGAATCGAGATTGAGTAAAAGTTGGTTAACTACATTTTTGAATCGATATTAAAAGCGCGTCGGATTGCAAATCTTGAGTGAACTTCGTTGAAATTTCTTTATTTTTTTTTAACATTAATTTTATTATTTCTTGCAGATTAAGGGTGGCCTTTGGTTGATGCATATATAAAAGGGCCATGTATCCCTTGGGCCGGAAGAGACAACACGGTATACTATAAACATGGAGTCTTCTTTACTTGCAAGTACAGTCACTGGCCGGAAAGGGGTGATCAGAGAGTTGGTTCGTGGCCGGAAATTTGCGCAGCAGCTTAAAGTTGTGTTGCGCGAATCCCCTGAAGCTGATGATATTGACGGCAGTGGAATGACGTCTGCTCAGATTCTTCTGAACAAAATCTTGGATTCTTATAATCGAAGTCTTTCAAACATCAGCTCCGGGGAGTCTGATGAGGTTTCTGAAATTCAGACGATGGATTCTCTTTGTTCGGATGGCTACCGGAAGTCTGAAGATTCCGGCGAGAGTTTCAAGACGTCTGTACGGAAGGATCGGAGAGGATGCTACAAAAGAAGGTAATTAATAAATTCTTGTAATTATATTCATTGATGCATTTAGTTGTGACTTATGTCTATATATTTGCTTAATATTTAATTAATTATGGATTCATTGTAGGAGAACTTCTGAGACACGCATTAAAGAGACATCTAGTTGGATTGATGATGGCCATGCATGGAGGAAGTATGGACAAAAACCCATACTGAATTCCCCACATCCGAGGTAGTTTTGTTTTTTTGTTTTTTTTTTAAAGAATTCAAGTTCGTTATGTCGTTCAAGATATTAGATATAATATCTATACGATATTATGTTACAAAATCGTAGATCGATCTCATCGGCCGATGCCGGGAAAACCTTGCCCTTTTCTTAGATCCAAGCCGGACCCTAGTTGTCCGATCTTTGGAAAGCCGCATGAAATTCGAGCCTTTCTCTTCTACCCTTACGAATCAAACCTACCTGCCATTTAAGCTAAATCAATACGAAGGGACGCATGTAGTGGCGGATCTAGTGATTTGAGTGAGTTAGGACGGATCCAGACAAGCACAGCTCAACGGCAAAAGGGTGATCAGAGAATTGGTAAAGAAACCTGTCAGAACACACACATTGGAGGAGTGGGTGGATGTGTTTTTTGGTAATTTTTTATTCACGGTGACTCCTACACATACACATGCGAGTAATCTGGCCAAATTTTGTGAAAAAACTTCTGTACAAATGGCTTAAGTGCAAGATCTTTGGTCTAGTTAATGAACTTGTAGAGAATGATACGGATCTTGTTTATGACTGGTTAAAATTTATTTTATATTTCTTTTTCATTTTTGATACCGATGATGCCGTCCAATTCACATCATGTGAAGTACTATCCAATTTTCCATGTCAACAATATTGTAATTTGTTCCATTTCTTGTCTTGAAGTGTGCTAATTAATTTTACTAACTATACATTGAAATGCAGAAGCTACTTCAGGTGCACGCACAAGTTTGAGCAGGGATGCCCAGCAACCAAACATGTCCAAAAGATTCGAGAAGACCCACCAAAGTATAGGACAACATACTTTGACCATCACACTTGCAGAAATTTATACAAATCATCTGAAGTTATTATCATGGATCACACCGCAGGGAATAATTCTTCCAATACCATCTGGAATTTTCAGTCACAGATTGAACCAGATAATTACGAGCCAAAGGACCAAGTGAAAGAGGAGAACAAGGAACGGGTTCAAGATTTGCCCAACAACAAATCTGGATCGTTCATCCCACCTGATCATTTCACCACATTTGGTCAAACCTCTGGGCCCTTGACTGCATTCTCATCAGGGTCGGATGTGATTTCTTCTGATGTGTATTCCTGTACGGCTAGCACTCACAGTATGGATATGGATAATATGATTGTAGGAACTGTATTCGATGATGACTTTCTGGAATATTGAAGGACGGTATAGTTTTAATCACGACCTCACTTTATGTAAAGTTATATGCCTTGTTAAGTAGTAGCATGTACCTGATCATGCTGTAGTGTGGAAATTAATGTATTAGATAAGATTAAGGTTTCTTCGATAAGTTCGTGCTCTAAATTCCTTGTAGAATTTCGTCAGATCTGGCAATCTATGTATGATGTAACTTTTTCACAAGTTATATATTTCAAATTTTGTATAGCACATGATGTTATCATTATATGTTATACTAAGAAATTACATATTATTTTTGGACCATCTAAGCGGCGTAGCATAAAAAAATTTGTAACCGAACTAATGAGAAGGAGAGGAAGAAGATTTCACATTAGCTCATAAGCCGGTATGAAGACGACAAGGTCGAGTTCTCACTAGCTAAGATTGACCAGAAAAGTAACCAATGAATGAGATTGTCATAACATGCTAGTCAACGATTCATCAATGTAATGAAATATAATGAATGAGCTTATTTGAGCAGTAAATATACAGTGACATATGATAAATTAAATTACTATTTTGGAGAATCTTATAACATGATACCTACGTACAGAATTTATGTAGTCGACAACCCCACGGCACCCATTAAAGAAGATGACCAGATACAGGGTTAAGTATTAAGACTGCTATATATGCTAATTTCGTTATTTTTGTCTCCTCACAGAAAACTTCCAACATATTCTTGATTGAGCCCCATTTTGAGGGGAAAAATATATTTTGAAATAATGGTCTTTGAAGAATGTGTCATTAAAAAATAAGAATTTTTTTCGATTTACGTGTAAAATTATTTTATTAGAGAATATGATTAAAAATGAGTTTTGAAAAAAACCACTTTTTGTACCTGTATGAGCCCCTTTTTCGCACAAAATACATTTTGGAATAATATTTTTATAAAGAATGTGACTAAAAATAAGAAAATGTTATGGGATTACGTGTAATATTATTTTAATGAAAAATGTGTGATAATAATTCATTTTTTCCTCTCTTCTTATCAAACACACATTCTTCAATAGAATAATATTATACGTAATCCCCAAAAAAATTTCTTTTTTAACCATAAATTCTTCAAAAAAATACTACCTCAACTATTAAAATTTCAAATAATGGTGGTCAAATGGGGGCTTAGATAGCTTAAAAATATTACATTTTTTAACAAATTATATGAACTTTCTTTGAGATTTATGACAATTACAAGACCTTCCCTCTTTTTTCAAAAATTTAAAAACTTTCACATTACTGTTTGTTTTTGATAACAGATTCCCCTTACAGACAAAAGGTTAAATATATAATTCTCATTTTATTCCTCTACACTATGTTGAAATTGTTATCTATTGTATTTAAATTATATTTTTCGTTTCTTATTATTTATTAATACGTAATTTTTTATACGTTTGATTTAGTTGAGATCATTTTAGTTAAAAACTACCATAAATTGTGATGAATTTCTAAAAAATAATTAATTTTTTTATATTCTGATAATTAATTTTAATTTTATTATTTTATATAATATGATGGAAAAATAATTAGCTAGTCAACACAAATAAATATTTAGAATAATTCAGTAAAGCTAGTTAGAAATTCATTAATTTATATTGCTTAATTTCTCTAATTTTTAATTTTTACACTCTTGACGTGTATACCATATTATTATTTGAAAACTGAAGTAGTATTTTCATAACATTAAATATGCAGAAAAAACTGATATTGAAAGTATTTTGTCTTTCTTACATAGTTTCATTAAAAAAAAAAATTCTTTTCTCTTTTCTGCTTTCATGCATTGAATGCTTTATATATTCAATTTGTGGAGCATCAAATTACTCTTCTTGATGCGTGAGAATCTATCATTTCATTAATTTAAGCTAAACCCCAATTTCTACCACTGAAATGACTATGCAAATTATATTGTGTCAACCATCAAAGTTGTTCTTGATAAAAAGAAATGTCCAAATTACACTACAAAACCTAAGGTTTCGTTTGATAGCATCATATTCAATGGAAAATATCACATCTGATGAATTCATTTTTTACCTTAACTGTTTGCTACGAAAGTGAAAACGAAGTTCGAATTTCAATGCACAAACACTTAAAGCATGTTTTTGGTCAATTTCATGAAAATCGAATTCTTATGGTTTTAATGATTTTTTTCTTTTTCAACTTACATGGAATTGGTTTGCCTTTTTCACTTTTACTATCAAACGGACCATAAGTAAAACATATTCCAATCTTCCATTTTTTTTCCAGATTTTTCGCATGTTTTGTAATCAAACGTTGATTTTTTAAAATAAAATTTGATTCATTTTTCTATTTTCATGCTTTTTTACTTATATTTTAGTGTAAAATTGTTCACAGTTGATTATTTTTACATGTTCTTGACAGGGTTTTTGAATAAACTAAATAGTTTTATTGTTGTCTTCAAATGTAACTATATGTTAATTACTGTTGCACCATAACGCCACTTCCAATCGCCCCTTCAAACTAGAAATCTTGGCCCCTTCACTGTCTTAATTGTCCTATTTTTGTTTCTTTTTATAAATATAATCGTCCCATTGTAAGTATCTACTGATAAGTAAATTTTTTAAGTTTTGCTATACATGCTTTTACAATTGTGAACAAGACGAATCTAGTCTAGTCTTAGGAAAGGCCGAAACAAAAGTTGGTGGAAACTTAGTCAGTGTGAAAAGGAGAAATGGCTGATCTTTCAATATCAATGGCGTGGAAAAAGGGTCAGGGGGGAATCATGTGGTTCAAATCTTTACGAATAGTTTGTGAAAATGAAATCTTAGGTTGGTTCTTTCCTTTTAACAACCATATCTCGTGTCATCAAGTGACTGAAATTCAGTCTTTTGATTCTCATAGTAGAAACTTAATAAGTGAAAACACAATAGTCGTCTGGGTCCACAAGGGTAAAGGATTTCGTCGAATTACTCGTGTAAAACTATTGAATTCCTCGAGACTGATTATTCTTCAAAAAATGTACGATTAGTGTTTGACCAACAGCGGAGTCATGAGAGAATTTTATTTTATTTATTTTTTTTTTATTTTTTTTTTGGGGAATATTAAACATATATATCTAAGAAAAACTAAATGGACTTGGGTGTTAGCCCTTGCTTGGTTAGATCAGAAGTCCAGCTAACACTTTAATCAGAATAGAGGTTTATTGATTGGACTCAACATAGAAAAGAAATTATGAATTGTGATGCCGTCTTTACCTTTGTTCCTCCCAAATGTAATCAATGGCCAGGGTCCAGTTTCCCCATCAAGAATACAATGACTTGGCTCTACATAAATGCTAAAATAAAGCAATATAATACATTGAGAAACAACATTTTTAACTTCTTGTTATTATCTAATCATGTTCAATAAAATATCATGAGTAATGCTATTCGTAGTAAGAATTACAAGTGATCGTTTCACGTGACATACATGTGTTAGTTTGTTATTTGATGCATGAAGTAATATATATATATATACACACACACACATAGGACGACTACCTATATTCCTCACTATAAATAGCATTATTCATATGTCATTGTTCAATACATCAAGCCATTCTATGATTTTACGATCCCAAAATGATAAAACGACTTGATCTGATCCCTTCGTCAATCTGAGTTTCAATTATTCGAGAATATGTTTAAAGATGGTGTAGCTATTTACTGGTGGGGGTAGCAATGCTGCAATAGTTTACACTTTATCCTCGCAAGCCTTTATTGGGATTGTTATTGGGCTATAAAGCAATAGTTGAGCACCTATAATTTTTGTTATTTATTTAAATATAATGATAAATTTATGAAAATGAACCTATGTTTCTTTAAAACACTCAAACATGAGGGCATGCTTAACATGTACACAATTTACAATAAGATTGAACATTACAATAAACAATATTCGTATTACACTCAATCTTATTCATTATACAATTTATCTATTCAAGAAAACCATGATTGTTCAGTACGTGATTTAGTTAGTAAGACTCGTGATTGTTTCTTAAGCTTTGGACTGCTAACATTTACGCCCTTTTTATCATCTCCCTGCAAAATAAAATGGGAAAAAAGAAAAAGCTAAAATTTTGTTTGCTATACCATATAGACGTGTCTTGAGTGAATCATGAGAATGATTAGCAAAGGAATAGAACTTACCTGATTCAGTTCTTTCAACCAAGCCCTTCCTTTTAATGAGTTACATACCAATGGAAGTTATGGCTGGTTTGTGCTTCAAGTTATGCCAAAGATATGCATGAATAGGAGCTAAAATGGTGTCCAGATAATAAATGGCACCCATTTTCCAGAGCTCTTCGTTTCCGTATATCTGATCTCGAATTTCTTGATTCTGCAATCTACTCGCGACAAGAAACGGCATTTTATGAGAGAATTTCTCTAAAGTAAAAAGCTTTTATAGTGGATATTAGGTCATTAAACAGAGAAAAGGGAAGTCACTTCTCTTGTACAGCATTGGGTAGGGTTTCAATATGGACAAAATATTCATATTCAAATTCTAAAATTACCCAAATCAGACCAAGAGCTTTATTTCCACTAGCAAAAGATAAAGGTTAAAGCACTTTCTACGTCATCCAACACATAATGTTGTTCATACACAAGAATTAATGCTACAAATGGAGAAGTATTCATATTCCAACTAAATATTGATCCAATTCTGGATTTATTATTTAGGCACAAAAAGGAAGAGGGAAAAAAGTAAGAACCTACCAAATGCATCAACAAAATTAGACTTGTACCAAACAGCAACTTACCTTTGTAGCCCACAAGGGGAATAAACACTATATATGGCTTGTGTTTTACTCATGCAACGTGGTAGATTGACTGAAATTTATGGTTGATCGACGATTACTAGGTTAACTTATGAAAAGTCAGTTATTACATTTAGAGTAAAATTAAAACACGTTACTCGTATTGACCTCGAGAATCAATACCCATGTATTGAGTAAATAAGTTGAATTATACAACTTATCTATAATTATATTAAAATATCACATCAAGGGAGAATTATTTTTTGGACGATTTTAACCCCCTACAATTCAGTTATTTCAATAATACCTTACTTTTCGTTTTTCGATATGTAATAATTATTATCATTTATGAAATTTGTGTCATTAATTCTCAGCTAATTAACATTCACATTAACCTAGATTTAATAAATTTTCACTTGATAAATCCTGAATTGCATGAATTTAGAGTTATTATAGATGAATTTACTCATATTCATGTATCTAGAAATTTAATGGATGTTTAAATTTATGTATTAACAATTATTTTTTATGTACCAAATGTAAAATAAAAAGATTGCTCATTCACAGTATTTCATCATTACAAAAAATTAGAATAAAAAAATTGAGTTTTGTGAGGACAATTTGAGTATAATTTTCTTCTCTTAAATTTTTATGTTAAATTTTATTTTCTTTAATTCATCCCAAACTCATCAATCCTCCAACAAATTGATACCAACTATTAATTTTACATCACTTATAAATCATTTTAGAATACCGTGCAATGCACGTTCAACTTTGATTAATCGATTAAAAAGGGAACAAGTAAATTTTAGCACGACGAGTTATGATTTAAGAATAATTCTAATTCAAGTCCATGTATCCCAAAACAATAAGATTATGTAGATTTTGTATGTGTAATTGACAATTTATATATTGTTTTAAGTAATTTTGAATTTGAACCCCTCACGCTAGTTCCTGCACTCAAAAAAGCCGTTAGTTAGATAGCACGACTAGGGATGTCAAAAGGGCCGAACCGCTCGTCGGCTAGGCTCGTCAAAGAAAGTGACCAAAACGGTCACTTTTTAAAAAAAGTGATCATTTTGGTCATTTTTTCAGTGACCAAACAGTCACTGAAATTTTTTTCCCCCTTCCACTATAAATACCCCTTAACCCCTCCCCCCCTTTTTTCCATATCAATTACTCAACAATCACTACTCCAACTCTCTCAACTCTCTTTTATTATATCAATTATCGAGTTTTTACTCTCTTGTGTTGTAAAATATACAATATCAATTCAATTTTTACAGTTTATTAGTTACAATTTCATTCATTCAATTCTCAATTCTCACAATATTTATATTTTTCTAGGTATTATATTTGGATTTCATCATAAACATTCAAACAAATGGACCAATGCTCATTCGTTGAGAGTTTATTCGATACGAGATGTGGGCCACATCATGTGAATCGCATAGGACGCCGCAAAGTCAATTTTCAAATGAATTTGCTGGTCTAAATGACGTACCCATACCTGAAGATGTTCACATTCACGGTCAGGGAAGCCACAATCCAATTGATTTGGATGATATTAACGTTTCCGAGGACGAAGATGCCGAACTAAACATCCCAAACGCGAGGGGAAAGCAAAAAGGCAAAAAAAAAAAGCAAAATGTTGGGATCACTTTAAGTTGACTTCAACGAAAAAAGTCGTCGATGGCCTTACAGAATCTAAAGCAGTATGTAAATACTGCCAACAAAGATTGACATGGCAAAAAGGAATTGATACCACTAATTTCAACCGCCACTACAAAGCATGTGCGGCCAGACATAGACTTTTTCCAGCTGGTCAAACACCATTGCAATTTGACAGTCCAGGCGTCGGTTCTACAACTTCACCCCTATTCACGTGGGTGTATTCGGAGGACAATACTCGAACCAGAATGATGAAATTTGTTGCCGCTATTGAGTTGCCTCTGGCTATTGCAGACAACCAACACTTC